AACTTTCATTTTGTTACAAAAAAAAAAAGGAATTCGGGTGGGGAGAACATTTGGCAGCTTAGTTGAGAGGTAGTAAGTGGTGACTTTAATGAAGATGCATTGCACCTTTTGCAGATTTATCTCCTATCGTATGGCCCAGCAGATGCTGATGTAGTGTACAACCTCCACAGCAGAAGCCCCTCATTGCTACGCACATCTGCATCCTCATCAAAGCTAATCCTCTGTAGCAGCGAGTCTGTTAGCATCCTGCAAGCCGTCGGCGGGAGTTTCACCGCAGACACAGGGTTACAACCGGGGAAGAAATCCTCTGTGTGTGCGTGTGTGTGTGTGTGTGTGTGTGCGCGCCCTATCTGGCTGTGCTTCAACAGCAGATGGTTAATTTTTTAGAAGTATTAGAGCACTGCCATCAATGTTTTTTTTATTTTCTTTATTTTTTTATCAGAAGTTATCTACAGTGCGCTGCAAGCCAGCGAAGACAGACTGTGGGTAGAGTCCCCCAGGAGCATATCCGCGCTACGCAGACATGTGTTCTGCAAGGAAAACTTAGAAGGAATAGATAAAGTCACCGATCAAATAGGATTCTCATGTCGTATGTCACAAAGAAATATACTCTGCATTCAGCAAAGGGAGCGGTGAAAAGTAGCTTGCTGATCCACAAGAAATGACTTTACAGCTGTTGTCAATTTCCATTTCATATGATGCTGTGGCACCTGATTGTGCAAATATATACAGTGATGAAGCCACATTACGAGACGGCGATTGAATCCACCTGAGAACAAGTGCACACGAACAAACAAACGGTAAGTGTGTCTCATACGAAGCCTTGCACGGAGCTGCACATTGCAGACGTGCAGAGAAAATGGACTAACAGCAGCCGAACTCGGGCGCAGGACGACGCGCGTCAAGCACACGGGCCGTGTTCCACTCGTGTCCGAGCCGGCCCGGCAGTCCGCAGATATTCCGAAAAGTCCGCGGGCGCTCCGAGAACCCTCGACAGCCCGATTGTGTCCCACGCCCGACATCATTTGGCAGTAATGTGAAGGTAAAGCTGCGGCAATCTCAAAGGGATCCTCCAGTCCTCCCGTCCATATGCTCCGCTTTGAGCCAATTTATATTTAGTGTTCTCTTTAACCTCTGCGCTATCTGGAATTCGCAGGCATGAAGGACGGCGGATGAAACGAAGTGCTTATTGAGTTGTAAATATTGTAAATGGAATCATGATGCTGTGCCCCCTCCTCGCGAGGCGTTTCCAATTATGGGAGGGTAATAAGCCTCCTTTGTCAGGTCAAATCCGCCGCGTCGAGCTGTGTGATTGCGGCGGCGCTAAGTAACAGGGCCGCCGTTAAGTGCTGCCGCCTGTGGGAGGAGTCATCCGGCTACACCACGCCATTTCCTGTGGAGAAAATACGCCCGTTCCAGGCAAAACAAGGTAGTTGAGTCTTTTTTTTACACGTATCTTTGCGATGTTCTCATTCGTCTCCCGGGTCGTTGAAGTCCAATCCGGCCTGCGTGTAATTGCTTTGCGTCATGTTCGTATTTACAGGAGATCGTCCGTATGAGCTCGGGTTGGAAGGAGCTGCACCAGACGGCGAATGAAGCACATCTGTGCAGAAAAGTAAAAGGATACAGGACTCTTCATAGACGTGCCACTTTTAATCCCACGGGAAATGGTGAATGCAGCCTCTCGTCATTTTATAGAATTAAACACTCGCCGCCATTTAATTAACTTACTGTTAAACATTCATGAGCAAATTAATCTAAATCTAAATACTTACTTCAGACTCCTGCATAGTTCTTTATGGTTCTTAAAGACTGAATTTGACACGACCACAAAGTGATTACGTTAATTCACCAGCTGGCCCGAAGCTTATCTGCAGAGATTCAGATTCTATTTACAAGTTGCAATTATCGTGCATTAAAGCAGATTATATAAAAAAAATATATGTTCTAGTCATTCTTGCTGATATTGTGCTGTTTCCTGACAGCAGTCCTCGAAACAGATATTCATAAAAAGTTTTTGCCTCCTCCTCCCCTAAAGTAAAGCGGCCAATCAGAGCAGAGAAGTCTCCTAAAGCTCATCAACTCTGATCAAACTATAAAGCTCGACGGTGGTGGTGATCACATAGGAATGAAAGATTCTGCTAATGCAGCGCTTAGTTTCTCAGAAACATGCTTCACTTTACTGTTTAGCTGCAAAACGAAAAAGGTTGCCACCCGGCTAACAAACTTTCTCACTTCAAAGACAAATTATGTATCTACTAAAGTCTGAGGCAGGGAAGAGGCGGCGCAGTAAGAGAATCTTTTCCTCTTCGGTTGCTGCTGCCTGGTTTGACAGTTTGATGGGGGACTCATAAGCAGAGATTAACATCTGGTTGTCTCCCTGCCTCATTGTAGGGTTCCGAGTGCCGCTTTGCAGCCAAAGGAACCTGATTTATTCATCAGATTATCCTCCTCGCACTGCTGTCGGGACATAGTGGTCGTTTTAAACATTTTACTCTCATTGTGCGCTCGTGTAAACAGCACAGACTAATGTAACGACCACAATCACTGCCCATGTCCTCTTTTCCTTATGCTAAAATAACAAGTTGTAGTTTTAAATGCTAGCTGGCTAACGTCACGTGACGACGCGCAGCCTGGATATTAAGCTGTGTATTAGTTGTGTTTCTGCCTTGTAGGTATTTAGTGAGCATGTAGTGTTCCAGGTCACCGTGTTGCTGTCTGACGCTGACAGCTTGTTGATGAATGCTTGTGGATGTTTGCGGCGAACAAACCTGTGGCTCCCTGCTTATTAAAGCACTTATTCAACCATAAACCGCACTGCCTCCGAAGATGCAAAACCACAATGCAGAGAAAACCATAAATCAAAGTGCAGCCGCTGCCAAGTAGCCATGTTTTTGCTGTGTTTTGTTTGTTTATGTAAAAAGCGATATTAGTCACCTGTTTCCGTCAATTGGAGCTGAATTTATATTCAATTTTGCTGCAGCACAGTCTGCCCCACAAACCCCCGAGGTTCTGGTTCTCCAGGGTCCCCCCCTTCTCCCCAGTGTTCCCAGCTTTACTGCCCGGACCTCCTGCAGCGTGGGTTTGACCCCCCCAGCAGGGACTGGAGGAGCAGCCAGGCAAAGCTCTGGAATGAGCCACTTCTCCTGCAGCTCTCCTGGATCTGGGTCGGTTCTGTTGTGCGATATTTCCCCCGCGTGCGTCCTAAGGGTCAAACCCCTCCTGCTTATTCCCACTGCCGACCTGGAATCCACAACGAGAAGAAGCATCCTGCTTTAATTCTGGTTTCCCCAAAATTTGACTTTGGAGAAATTGACTCGTAGCCGGGCTGGGCCGGACTCAAAAGCTCAACGTTTCCGCGCCAGATCACGAAAGGTCCACTGAGCATCAGTTTTGACTTGCATACACGGTACAACGCGTTGATTTACAGAACCAAGTTTGCAACAACGAAACTGGGTTTTGTAGATGTGGAGAGAAATATGAACCTATTTCTCTGCTCAGATTATTTTTTACTTTAATTTGCTTTATCTATCAAACTGTATGACTGATGTTCACATCAGCTGCATGAACATAAAGCCATCTTCAGTGAATGAGCTTTGTAAATCAAATATACAACCCTGTCCTATTCAGTCCGTGGAAAGGAAAGTACATGAACAACGGCTGTGGTCGTGTCACATTCCATTCTATTTTTTTTGGCAATTGAAGTACATGAACTCCTGCGCCCCACAGTTTACTCGCTGCAGTTATTTTTATATAAAGTGTTTATCCTCTTGACTGTGAGCCTGCTATCATCCGAGGAGGAATGCCCCCCCCCCCAGGCGTTCCACAGCAAGTGGGTGTGTGACGGTGTGAGATCAGCGGAGGAGACTTCTTCTTTATGTTTGAGCTCTCGATGCCTCGCGGTGCGTGAGAGCGGTCAGGAGACACGCAGCTGCACTCGGTGAAAGATGTGCGAGCACGACTCGGGAGACAAAGGCCCCCCGGCGGGGGGGGGGTAGAAGCGTGAAGTGGGTGGAAAATCATCAGCTTTGTTTTGCATGTTCCCTCTCAATCGCACGTCTTCCCAGTCCGAGCCGAGCAGGAGCAGAAGATCCGCAGAGAGGACGACAATTCATCAACAGCTTTTGTTCCACGGCAGCGCGTGGCTTCAAAATAACTCCTTGGCTGTAGCTGGCGGAATTACAGCTGTCTTGCCCGGGCCCGATCACAAAGCCACATTTCACGGCGCAGGCGGGGAGGGACAGGGGAGGTGTGGAGGCGCCTCGGCATTGTGACAAAACTATTGCTCATTCCACCTCTCAATATTTATCATCGTACAATTTCCCCTCAGCGCCTCGCCTCTCGAAGGGCATGATTTATGACACGCCCGCCCTCCGCCCTCATCACGGCGGCGACGTGTTCATCACGTTTCCACAGGCATCGCTTCTGTTTAATCCGGAAGTGGGAGAGGGGAGGAAGACGAGGAAGACGACGAAGAAGAAGAGGAAGGGCGGCGATGGATGGATGGATGGAGAGAGGGCGGGTGTGGAACTGGAGAGGGTGGAGAGGACTCACAAAAACAGAGAGAGAGGCAGTCGGCATCCACTTATCTATACATCAAAGGCTTGACGCTGCCTTGCAAATTTGCTAAAGCTCATTTGTTATGTTTTCCGCTTGTCAGTGGGCTTAATGCGCACAGCTCATGGGAGTCGCAGCCTGCCGCATGATCAATGGGTAGAGAGGGGAAGTTACATCTCGCCATTAAACGCCTTTGACTCGCAATATGCAGAGCGCGGGCCGCTGTGAGTGATGCTTTTCTTTCGCCAGCTGGAGGAAGAGGGGAGGAGGTTGTCAGATAGATAATGAATTTTACTTTTTGGTGCACAACCAAAGGCGCGCTCCCCTGCATGTTAAGGCTGAGGATTTGTTGTGCGCTGTTTCAAAGTCACACTAGACATCTCCGGAAGGCAAACAACTCGGGAAGCAACTCGCTAAGCAATTCAGGCAGTTGAATTGCCTAGGAAGCAGCCAGGGAAGCAACTCGGGAAGCAGCCAGGGAAGCAACTCGGGAAGCAACCTGGGAAGCAACTCGGGAAGCTACTCGGAAAGCAGCCAGGGAAACAACACAGGAAGCAACTCGGGAAGCAGGCAGGGAATCGACTCGGGAAGCAACTCGGAAAGCAGCCAGGGAAACAACTCGGAAAGCAGCCGGGGAAGCAACTCAGGAAGCAACTCGGGAAGCAGCCAGGGAATCAACTCGGGATGCAACCCATGAAGCAACTCGGGAAGCAACCCGGGAAGCTACTTAGGAAGCAACTCTGAAAGCAGCCAGGGAAGCAACTCGGGAAGCAACTCGGGATGCAACCCGGTAAGCAACTCGGAAAGCAGCCAGGGAAGCAACTCGGAAAGCAACTCAGGAAGCAACTCGGAAAGCAGCCAGGGAAGCAACTCGGGAAGCAGCCAGAGAATCAACTCGGGAAGCAACTCGGGATGCAACCCAGTAAGCAACTCGGGAAGCAACCCGGGAAGCAACTTGGGAAGCAGCCAGGGAATCAACTCGGGATGCAACCCGGTAAGCAACTCGGAAAGCAGCCAGGGAAGCAACTCGGAAAGCAGCCAGGGAAGCAACTCGGAAAGCAACTCAGGAAGCAACTCGGAAAGCAGCCAGGGAAGCAACTCGGGAAGCAGCCAGAGAATCAACTCGGGAAGCAACTCGGGATGCAACCCAGTAAGCAACTCGGGAAGCAACCCGGGAAGCAACTTGGGAAGCAGCCAGGGAATCAACTCAGGAAGCCCCAGCCAGCTGCATCGTGAGGGGAATCAGAGCCTCTCATCTCCACTCACACACACCTTTGTAATGACTCTGCTGTGATCATGAACTGTCGCTGAGTGTTGGCAGCTCCCTCCCTTTTAATCATTGCCTAATGGCAAAGCTGCTCATTAATGGATTCTGAATAAGGAAATCACTTTGTACTTCGAGTAGCTTTGTTTGTCTTCATTTTTTCCTCCTTTGTCATTGTCTCACATCCACTGAGCTCAGTTCCCCCCCCCCCTCCCCTTCCCTCCCCTGGAGGGAGGCCAAATCAAGTCAATGGCATTCATCATGGTTAATACGCCCTTAACGAAGCTTTCTGGGAACTCCCCTGAAAGACACTCCGTACTGGGGCGCTATTAAAAACTGTTCATTCCACAAGATATTTAGAGTCTATCATCAATCATCAATTATCGATGTGTCGTAATATCATTTTAGCTTTCACTAAACAACCCAACCCCCTCTGCCGCATTACGATCTCCGCATTTACCAGCCATCTCAATACTAGAGGACTCCGGTAAAAAAAATCCGAGGTCTTTAATTTGCAAGGTTGGTGGGATCAGTTTGAATTAGCTTGTCATTATCAGTGGGCTTAACGGAGGATTGTGGACGTGTGTCACGACAGAAGCGTGGTCCTACTGACCTTAACTCATGTCTGTTCATAAGTCTCATAGGAGACCGCCGAGGACACTCAAAAGGAACCCGGCCATCAGCCGCACTTTGTTTTTCTGCCGATCTGCGTACTTCCGCTCTGATTCGTGCAGCTGGATTGGCTGAAGCAGATGTGACATAAACACATCACACAAAATACTTTTGCCCTTGGCTCCTTTTACAGGTGAATTATATTCATTGGTTCTCCTCAGCACAACAACTCCAAACACAACGGAGGCCCCCGGAGGAGAATCTTAGCCCGATTGGGCCCAACATTTCACTGAATGCATCCATTCAACTTCCTCAAGCCTGAGAAATCCATTTACTTTGGAGCGACTGCTTCACCCTCTTCCGAGCGCCAGAATGGCAATAATGACATAAATGGCCACACAAATGAATGGAGATCTCAGGGCTGTATATCAATTCAGGTACTTTAGAAGACCTCGAGGGATTCGAGAGCGTATTTTGGCTGCTGTTTCTTTCTCCCAGTAGCGCGGCGTGGCCGAGGCTTCCCCGCGGGAGTAAGCGGCAAAGCACTTGGTTAAGCTGTGTATTGATCTTTGGGGTCCCGCGCTCCTTTCCTGTGCAGGCGAGGCTTTCAGAAGAAAACCCCTCTGCACTGACTCTCGCTACCGATACACATCACGTACCCACCCACCCACAGCGTCTACCGCAGACACGAGATGGAAATCACCCACACACACACACACACAGAGCCGGAGACTTACACACACTCGCCGGTATACGTACTGTATCTCAGTTCCGGGTGACCCGTATAATGTGTAACGTATGTAACGTGTTCATTGTCGTGTTTCTTCAATGGTGTTTTTTTCTTCTTCCAGATGTGGCAGGTGGAAATGGCATCAGTCCAGCTGCACACTACAGCAAATACCAATAATTATAATGACAACAACACATGGCGGCACACACCCAATCTGTTCTGAAGAGTTCAACGTTCAGACATTGAGCGAGTTCCTCCCTTTTTAAGCTTTAAGTCTTGTCAGTCGGTGGGAGCTAATGAGCTGAAGTTAGGGACCGTCACACAAGTCTCTGCCTTCCTTCAGTTTTTAAAATGCGTCACGTGTTTCAAACACACACAGAGCGCGGTGGCTCATGGCGGAGTTGCACATGCGCTTCATCCACACAGATTTGGCTAAATACTGGTTCGGGTTATCGCTTCACTCAGAGGCTACCGTTGTCTTATCGCGCCATGTAACTATTAATTAATTGATGACAATCTGCAAAGAGAATTAGCGCAGCATTCCTTATGACTTGCTTAATTACCAAAGTCATGGGCACTTGGGAAACAACACTCGAAAAATAGGAAATATTTGTCCTGAAGCTGAAGTGGCGTTGTCATAGCGGCGGGCGGGTGGAAACTCTGGTGAGGAACGGAGGGCGGGGAGTGAGATCTGTTAGCTCGGCGCGATATCAATCATCTGGAATTAGAACGTGTCGCGTTGCTCGCAACACCATTCGGAGAAGGAGTGAGGGTGCCAGCGTGAGTCTGCATTCAGTCGTGGTGTTTACTGTGAAGTGCAGCTGGTGCTGATCCACAGATTCGGGGGAGAACATCGACCTCCCATGGAGAGCAGGAGATTAGCTGCCAATTTAGCTCCGCCCGTCGGTTTCAACCAGGCGCTTTGTAATCCTGATTGATTGATTTATAAATGATTTCATCTGAGCTGATTGTTAAGCTGCTCCTGGACAGACGTTAAAAACAGAGCCCTTGAAACAAAAGATTAAGTCTTTCAGCGAGAAACCAAACAATCCCCTTTGAAAACACACTTTAATCAGACATAGTTTACCGAATTATTATCATTATTCCAAAAGTGACTTTTGCTGTATATGCACATTTGTCTTCACAGAGAGTTTGTACATCCAGTGACGGGAAGAATAGTGGATGTTTTACAGATTTGGCACCAATATCCAATGCACGCCTCGTGTGAAAAACCAAATATTACAGGTTTCTACAGTTTTTACAGACCACCTGTCTCGGTGGCTTCCCTCACCCTTCTATTAGCGCCAACGCGCTCCATTGAGCTGCACATGTCATACCGATACCAAACTAATCAAAACTAATGAATTCATTTAACTGATGATAATAATGTTATTAAAATGCAAATTGTTAATTTCTTTTAATTGCTCCACGTCACATGTAATCAATCCCCGGCTCGTTCCGACGTCGCCACCGGCCTCTCTTCTCGTTTTCTCCGGCCCGCGTGGCTCGCTGTGAAGTTTAGCGCTTCTCCCGCCGCGCCGGTTAGCTCGGCCACGGTTATGGCGACGCCATTGTGTGTCATATCATTTCTTCGTAATCGCCGTGTTTGCGGCTGCTCCGGCGGTTGTGAATGGGCTGGTGGCTGCAGGGCTGTAATTGGAAAACACATGACTGATTGGCGGAAGCGGAGCAGACGCGGAGGAATCGCTCGCGTTCTTTTGTCGTCAGCGTTTGTCCTGCGGTTCCAAACTGTAATGTAACACGCTGAATAAGTGAGAAGTAACATACTAACACCGTCCTGCCTACCAGAGTTCACTCAGGAATCCAACAACGGAGCGCATGGGAATTATCTCCGTGACTCATTGAGCGTGACTTCATTAATCACGTTAATTTGTCCGCTCGTGGGGTTTGAAATGTAAATATTTCTGCAAGGCGGCTGCTACAGGAGGCGAAATAACACCTCGGTGGCTGAACGTCCAACGATGAAGCCACTTCGTCCCATCACGCCTATCGGCAGTCACTCGCTTTGATGATGTGACGTCCCTCAGCGAACCTGTAGGGATGAAATCATACATCCAGATATGGTGATACACTATCGTCTTGTGCACGCCGACCATAACAAGCACAACTGAGGCTTCTCCAATAAGTGATTAAATAAGCAGTCATTTTCAGTTGCAGTCTGTTATGTCTACAACACTATTAATGCTTAAAATCAGAATGTAAATGTCGCAGTTAGTTTGAAGTTCAACCATGTTGTTATTTGATCAAATAATCTGTACGTAAAAGGTACATTTACCTGTAAGACAATATGAGATGGAGTAAAGTACAATATTGCACTCTGATATGTAGTTTAATCAAAGTAAAATTAAACAGTTTTCTACAGTAAATGTACAACAGAGCACATGACACCTTCATTGCTGAAAACCCATTCAAATAAAGAAGGAGATTGTTAACTCATTCAATATTTACTCTGCGCCGCATGCTTGTGAGCTCAAGTTCATAACTCTCCAGAATACAAATCTGAAAATGATTCTTTTCGCTCTTCGATCTCCCGTTTCCTGCAGCTCGCTGTGCGTCGCTCCCGCTCAGAATGTCAGCGCCCGCTCAAGAAAAATAGCCACAACCAAGAATCAATCAACAAGCACAATGCGGTGTGCATTTAATCCTGTGGGTTTATAACCTTCACTGCCGACCATATCAATTCATCTCCAAATTATTTTCAGCACTCCATCTTTCAGTGTTTTGTTTTGCGCCGCATTGTCAGTCCCAGAAAATTACTTTCAATTCACCTCTGGCAGAGATTCATTTGGTTCCGTATGTTTAGAATTAGCTGTATTATATCACAGCAGTGATGGAGGGCGAGTTAGAATCAATGACAGATTGCACATGGCGCAGGTTTTCACTGAGTGAGATCAACACTAGTTTTTACTCACTTTGTCTTATAAAGCCTGTTGTATAGTCTCTTCATGGTTTAGCTTAAGCCCCATGAGCTTAGGTTTGATTTTAGACCTCCGATAAAATAGCTTGTAACAGTCGGTTAATCACAAGATCCCTAACCGTTGTTTCTGCAACGAACACGATCATCTTTAAAGAGCCTTTTATCTTGAGTCTATTTACACTTTAGATAATACGTGTGTGCTAATGCTGAGCTACTTTCAAGAGACACTAATTCCCTCATTATAATTCCCTTGTTGTTGTGTGATGTGAGAGCAGAACTTTGCAGAGTTATTACGGATGTTTAAGGCATTGTTTTTAGTTGTAAAAGCAAAAGAAATATTTTTTCTTAATTTGAAATGATAACTGCCCTTAGCTTGGGGGCCACTTAGCTTGTTTTCAATTCATTCTCACACTTCTTTTAGTCGAGCAGATCTTTTCTTCGTCGTGGTTTAGACAAATCATTTTTGAAAGCGGCGTCCGTGCGCTGAAATCGAGGCGCTTCTCTCTCCGATCGGGAAGTGGTTTTCCCTCCGGGGGAAGAAGAATGAGACATCGGGTTCGTCCCGACTGAAACAAAGCGGCGATTGCGCCGCCATTTTTTTTTTGTCTCTCTTCAACCTGAAGCTGTAGCAGGAGATGATCCTCCGTCTAAGTCATGACCCCCCCCACCCCACCCCCCCCACACACAC